GGGAAAAAAAAAACACCTAAAGACGGTGNTACTGGAGTTCACCAAGGGGGTAAACGAAGACTTTAAGTTAAAGAAGAACTGAAAAAATCTTCAGAAAATGAGTAAACTGCACAAATGGATGGATTGCTGATGTAGATGCCAAGACAATTAGACACACCACATAAAAATAAGTCCTACAGTGGTGACACCTACTTCATTGGTTCTTTCAAATGTCAGAATTTTGATGTGCAGGTGCACTTATATAGTTAATGAAGAGGAAAGATGTCAGTCTAAAGATAGCAAAGTGGCACAATACATTATATGAGACACATATTTAATAATACTCCAGCCTATACAGACAGGTCAAAAACTCTAGACTCCAGACTTCGCAAAAACAGATAAGTCCATTTTTACAGATGTCATGTTTTTACAGATGTCATGTTTTATGTTTTGCATTTGTTACCGCTAAAACACAATTTTATGTGTAGGCCCTGCATATTGTGTTGTGCTCCACCCTGCTTTTCCACCCTGGTCTCTCACCAGCTCTCAGGTTAATTAGCTCCCAGCTGCTAATCATTATGAATCTGCCTGAATCAGAGTGTTTTGGCTTTAAATACAGCCCTCTGAAGCTAGAGAGCTGAGGAACACTTCTCCCCAGCTCTGAATAGGAATAGGAATAGGAATAGGAATAGGAATAGGAATAGGAATAGGAATAGTAGCAATTAATTAATTAATTTTATATTTCTTATAATTTTATTGTTCACTTGTGGTTGTGATATTGGTCACTAGTGTTTTTGTAGTTGGATCAAGCCTTAAAGCCAAATAACCTTTATTGTACCATTATTGCGTTTCCGTTGCTATATAGTATTTTGTGTACTTTGAGATTTAAGTTCTAATTCCATATTATTTCACAAATATATTGTGTGTATATATATTTTTACAAATTCTTTGTTACACCTTTTAAACAAAACTAGACTTAAAGTAAACAATTTTAATAACCTCTTTATATAACACCCTTTTAAAATATAAGACTGTTAAGAGATTATGTAAATTTTACTGGCCACTCAATGGATGAAAACACAATGATGAGATCTAGTCTAACTCATTATCTGCAATACATGTTTTTTTTTTTTAAAGAGATCATTTTCAAGACAGGACTTTCTGTATGTATTTTGTACAATTTTTTTTTTTAATGAAAGAGAAACACAAGTTTATAAATGCCTCATGTAGAGGTAAATGTGTTGACCGGTAAGCTGATTTAAACTTGCTCAAGCCCTGTTGCTGTCAAACATTGTTTACTTAATTTAGTCAGTGGAACGGTGACCAAATATGCCTATTTCGTGACGAAATTTCCTGCTCGCTTGTAAAAGTATTTTGTGTATTTTAAAATTAAAGATATATAGAATTTTACTTTGATACATTTGTGGCTGCTGTATTTTGTAGTTTATATTGATACATATAAAATTGATGGATTTGGGATTTTATTTTAAAATGTGGTTCAGTGTATTTTTGCCCATTACTGCTCCCTGTGTTGGCTTGTGTTTCCTCTGGGTGCTCTGGTTTCCCCCACAAGTTCAAAGGTAAAGGTGTGTGTGTGTGTGTGTGTGTGTGTGTGTGTGTGTGTGTGTGTGTGTGTGTGTCCATTTATAATCACAAATATGTACATGAATGTTCAATTATGTAAAAACATTTTAACTATATCAGGTTTTATTATACAAAATATTTAGAGAATTGTTACACATTTAGATTGTTTTTTTTACCGCCTGTTGTTGTAATGTAATTTTTACAGAATTATTCAATCATAAATTTGAGTTATTAAATCATTATTTTGACTTTATCTTGTACTTTTGATTTAGTAAATCATAATTTTGGCTTTTTTTTTTTTACCTCAATCGTTTACACAAAGGAGTGTTTTGTCTTGGTGATTGGAGCTTCCAGTACAGAGACAAAAATATCTAGTGCAAAGTTCTGCAAACAAATATATATTACATGCATAAATATATATTATAAAGAAAACAGGATTGCTATAAAATGTTAGTCATACAATATGTAAATTATTTGCAGACATAAACCTCAGCAAGATAGGTTACTCTGCATTTAATAATTTGTGCTTAGTAATTTATGACATGTTGTATACAGTATGAGAATGTAGAATCTGCAG